GAGAACAATTACCTCCTTATGATTGATTTAAATTTGTTTCAAGTATTTTGTAATAATATTTAATCAGCAATTTAGATAATTTGGTTTTTGCCGGTTTTTACCAGTTTTTGCCGGTTTTTACCAGGTTTTTGCCACTGTCCTGGCAAAAACGCAAAAACTTCAACCCTGACAGAATCTATATCTGATATTAGAATGTTAGGACATATGGAATAAGCCCAGAAGCAGAAAGTGCCTAAAACTGTCACGTACATCGCAGACCAAACGAAGTCCTCCCGCAGAACAATTTGTATCTTGAATAAGTAACAGCACTTTTCTGCGAATCCCCCCCCCCTCCTGCCTCCGGTAGTCTTGCAGAACAATCCCCAACCCTAATCTCATATTTTCTTCTGTAGACCATAATGACCTGAAGGTTTAAAGGAAATTAATGAATTAGCTTTTGGCTAATTCATTAATTACATTTTTATAAAATGGGTGTATCAGTTTTAGTAGACAGCAGGAGAAATCGATCACCATTTTTATCAAGAGAGCTTCTAAAGCAAGCCGTAAAAGAATTAAATTCAGAGATTTCCAATTTCATAAAGTTTATGACTTTTATATTTTCCATTCCCATTTCAGAAGCAGTTTGTGAATCGTCGGGATCCACGATTGACAGAATTGTTTCTAAAAGACCAAATGCTTGCGATGGAGATGAAGAAGTTTTTGGAACAATGGACCAGTGAATGTTTGTATTTGCAAATGGTGCACTATCTGGGCACTTGTCTCTTTGAAAGATTTTTAAGACAGCCCTTTTTTTTAAAGTTCGGACCTTCATATAATAGGCATTTTATTAATAATTCATCATCATCATCAACAAAATTTTGTACTTCAAAAGTGATTGAAAAAGTAACAAATCAAGATTGTTTGCCTTGGTTTAAAAAATAATGTAGTGTATCTGTATATGATCCTTTATTTAAATAAATTAAAATATAGTATTTTAACAAAGAGTTGACTTTTTTTTTGCTGTCAAATGCTTGCAGAACATTTGTATAAATTAATAAGTCCTGTTGCGGAACATTTGAAAATATTCTGCTTATGAGGGTATAAGTAACTATCTGTGACTGGCGAAATAAAAAAAAAGAGGGGAGTCAACAAGGAAATTTTCATTAGCCAGATTTTAAAAATAAAAAGGTATATTATTTTTTTTCTTACTTTTAAAACTAATCCTGACTATTTAAAATATATTTGTGAGGCACATATTGCAAAATTGGTGTTAAATATCCATACATTTTTTGAAAAACACTTGATCTTAAAATCTATGATAGCTATACTTTGCAATTTTATCAAGTAATTTATATTTTTAGGCAAAACAAACATTTTATACATTATATATATAACTTTCAAAAAATTTAAATGGTGTTTCCTAAGTATGGCAAGAAAAAAAGAATAAAGTTTTGTTCCTTAAAATTTATTCCTGTAACTTTTTAAATGAAAAAAAAATGCAGTTTTAATTTAATATTAAAGAAATATAAATATAACTTAGTTTCTGGTTTCTCAGCTGAAGAGAAAAAAACATACCTAATGAAGGTAAAATATCACACTACATAGCAAATATAATTACATTTCAGAAATAATTGATAGCAAAGACTTGTTATTTGTGAGCTAGCAAAAGAAATTAAAAAACAATAATTTTAATTATATTAAATAACATATAAGGGGAAAAAAGTTTTTATCCTTTTGTTAGTAAAATGTTTTCCTTTCAATAGTTATCAACTAGAGATGATATGAAAAGATTAAAACACTTAAAATTACAAAAAGTGTTTAATGTTAAAACATTTCTTTTTATTTATTTATCAAATTATGAAAAAAAAAGAGAGAGGAAACATTAAAAATGATTAAAAGATGTAATAAGCAACTATCAGCATCATTATTCATTATACACAGAATTCTTTGCCAATGTGTATTTACACAGACAGAAGTTTCTGTTTCCATTAAGCTTCTTGGAAAGTATATATTGATTATTTGCATTGCATGTATTGTGACATTTCTCATGATAAGACCTTCTTGAAAAGGTTAGGTCTCTACAAACATATTTATCCATATCTTTAAATTTTTAAATAAAAAACTAATGAACATTCAAAATGCTAAAAAATTATTATTTGCTTTTATGATAATAAATGATCAAACCACAATCAATCATTAGAATAGTAAACAAGAATCATTCAGTCAAATTATATTAAGTATAAAAATGGAAATTGAAACAACTTTTTTTTAATTAAAAATAAATCGTGATAAATTCATACCTTGTACTTTGTGTACAAATCATCAATATCAAAATCATCAGGGGATGGAGCAGTAATATGTCCTGAATGTTTCTGATCACCAATAATATCTTCCTAAAATAAATAAACTATCTTTAATACTTGTTATATGATAACTTCGAAAAATGTATGTGAAAAGATGAATTCCTTGTTAATTACAAAACTTAAACTACTCTTTAATCCCACATAAATTTTTCTAAATTTCTTTCTATTACCAACAGTGTTTCTAAAGGTCCTTAAAATTCTACATTATTATCAATTTATTATAAAAAAAATTCAAAATTTTTATCAAAGCATAAATATTCATTTAAATGAAGTTTAAATATAATGAAGTTTTGCTATTTTTTGGTTAGCCAGGAGCATATAATATAGGGTGACCCGGGGTAATTCACGATCACTCTGTTTCTGGGGTAAATAATGATCACCTAAGTTTTATTTTAAAAAAATTATTTTTTTTTAAATTTGAGACATGGACAAGAAAGCTTGTACACTTTACTAAAGTATAACTACATTTAGTTAATAATAGTTTTTTGTTTAATCTAACAAAATAAGTAGGTATCTTTTAAACTGCTTTCTGTATTTTCCATTTCAAAGATGGGTTTCAAAATGTGCACATTTCTGCAAAGATATACTTACTTCAAATGTTGTTTATATCATTTATTGTTCTTTTGTCAATTATGTGAATTGTTTTTAAAGAAATTCAGTAATTTTAATCCTATTGGGTCATATTAAGTTTATGATTAGTTGTTCTACTTGTCGGAAATTTTTTTTGACAAATTTAATACATTGAACGATAAAAAAGGTACTATTCTTGAAGAGAATTGGTAAAATATTATTTAGAATTATATATGTTGTTTACTATTATATGTTCTTTACTGTTATAGCAGGCGTACGACTGTAGAGGTAAAAAAAAAAAACTTTGATAGCTGAGAGCGGATATATGACTGGAAAGGTAAAAATGCTTTTGTGGCTGAAAGTAGACGTACGAATGCAAAGCGTTCATTACAATTTTTAACTTTTTATAAAAAGTATTGAATTTATACATTTTGAACTATATTTTACTAAAAATCCAGTTGAAATTTGGGTATTATTCTATGTTTGAATATGAAGCTATTCCTTAAAGTTCCTAAATTCCTTCTCTTAATAATAAATATTTTGAGTTACTTTCTTTTTCTTTGATATAAAAATAGTGTAAGCTTTTGTTTAATTGTTTCACATCTACTGTAAACATTATAATTGATTATAGGAAACTATATCAAATGTTTCCCCCTACAGATGGGGTAATTATTGATCACTGGGGTAATTCCTGATCATTGTCATTTCTTCTTATAAATAGTTTAAAAAATAGCTAATAAATAGTTAATTTTCTTTTCTTAAATAACAGTTCATATTTATTAAGTGGAANACTTCCGTTTCGACTTAAGACATCCTTGAAATTTTTTTTTTTTAAATATACGAAGACTAAACGAATAATTGATATCACGTTGCTAGTTTACGAGCTTGTTGCCAACTGTGGAAAAATACGCATTAAAAACTATAAAAACAGCAAGATACAATATCAATTCCAACTATCGAGAGTACGAGTTTCCCCACTCCTGAACGGACGTCACTCGATAACGACATGTGACGTCATTGCATTCAACTCCACACGAAAGAAGAGGAAGATTTCACCCGCCCCCATTGTAAGGGGGCGGGTGAAATAGGAGTGTTAAGAGGTAACGTTGAAGAGGGGGGGAAATAAAGCATGTTCAGCTACGCTTCAGGCAGATGGTAGTTTGATAAGAGGGGATGGAATTCAAGCTGAAAGAAAAACTTACCTTCGCACTCGCGGAAAAATTAGGTAATTTTGAGTTTGGCCGTCGATCGCAGTAAAATTCGGGAGTTTTTCAAATCAATTCCGGAGGGCGGGAGAATAACTCAAAATTCGGGAGACTCCCGCAAAATGCGGGAGAGTTGGCACGTCTGCATATAGCTTCAAACTTCCAGTAAATATTAAAATTCTATCTTGAATAGTTTTTTCACAAAATAGATGTTTGCATTTTTTGATCAATAATTATCCCAAGTCACCCTAGTCCTGACAATATTTATTCATTTGAGCTATTTTACTTTTTATACAGTACTTACATACTAACGCCACCGCAGCAGATTTGATCCTGATACAGGAGTTCATACACAAACAGCTGAGAGAATGTGGGGCAGTGCAAAAATGGAGGAACAAGAGAAGAGACATAGGGGGACAACAGGACATCATTCGGAATCTTGTTTATCAGAGTTCATATGGCGACAGCATCAGGTGAAAGAAAATAGAGACTGCTTTGAATCTATGTTAAACTCTATATTGGCCCATTTTGCACCGAAATCAGATTGACTACATTCATTTTAAATAAAGTGTGTTGAATTTTGAAAGTGTTTTGATTTTAAATAAAGTGTTTTATTTCGTGATTTCTCACAAAAATTTTAGGTGCAGATTGGCGACACTAAAAAACCGCCAAATCTATAGCTGCGGTGGCGTTAATATGTAAGTGCCTTTTAATTTAAACATATAAAAATTAAATTAAAAAAAAATTTACAAATATCAATTAATATTCTTACGTTTGGGTAATTGAAAAGCAGCAAAGTTTTACTCTCAATAAAAACACTACTTATGCATTGATATCACATTAAATAAGAAGGCTAGTATAAGAATTTTGAGAGAAAAAGGACTTTGCTTTTATACAATACAGCGATATGTTAGCGGTCATTACCTTCATAAAAGAACTTCCTAACTAGCAAAAATTTAAATATATTTATGTTGTGGTTTTCCCAGTGTGTAAATTTCAAGTAGGTCCCTTTCCGCAAATTTTTTTTTCTTTCAAGTTTCTCAGAAGCCATAAAACATTGATAAACCATTTTTTCGAAGATATCGATAAAAAATCTTAACAATTCACAATTGATTAGGTAAAACTACCAATAGACGTTTTACTTGCAGTACTACTGCTTACTAACTTGCAAATACTTAGGTTTCACTTGAATATTTCACAATAAGACAGAGTTAACATTAAGTCATTAAAGCAAATTTAAAAATTAGCAATCACAACATGAAATCATTTTTCTCACTCAATAATAGAAAAATTTACATGAGTACTTAGCTTACTAATATAGCTTCATTTAACAAAAAATTCATATCAACAAATACATAAGTGAGAATAATATCTATCTGTATATACATAGATAGATAGATATTAAAACGCATGCTTGAAACTTGCTGAAGAAATTAGGAAAAAATACTCGCAAAAAATATTCTATTTAAATATTACAAAAGTTAAATGATACGCTTTGCTTGGATCTGAGAAAATAATACAATGTAAAAAGAGACACAGAAGAAGTATTATTAGAACTGCATTAAAAACCTTAAAAGATACCTTTTCGATTACAGTAATGCCGATTTCTTCCATTTTATTGACAAAAAACTACTTTATTTTTAATTCTTAATGACGGTAGTTTACAAAATAAAAACATAAACGAAAATTTCATTTAAGATGAATCATGCAGAAGTTTAGCTGTAACCATACTGACAAGATATTTCTGCTGACAAATACTAATGGTGCATTTCCTTTGCTGCAATTTTATGCCATGAAAATCAAATGACTGGATCATAAATGAGAAAAACTAGTCTTTGATTTAATAAAGGAACTTTTTTATTTGTGACTGTAACTGTTAAAAAATCTTGGAAATGTCATTTGTTTACGTTTGTGCTAAGATCTATAGTTGTAAGATATAGCATAAATGTTACAATCATTTGATTTATGTTAATATAAAAATTATTACAAAATGAAACTTTTTCATAAATTCATAGAAAGAGATGGAAGTGGGTATGTTATATTAAGACATGATTTTGTTTTTATCTGCTATATTTGTTTTAATGATTAGGTCAATGAAAAATGTATTCTTTAAGTGTATTTGTTAATACTACTTTAAGAAAATAATCTAATCATATTTACGGATAAAATGGCATAAATAACTATTTGTTTTCCTTGTTTAAAGTATCTCTCGTGAACTATTTATTTTCAGCCTTATATTACCATGACAGCGAATTCAGAATGAAAAAGGAGATTTTCATAATAAACGAGATCATCGAAATCTTTATTTATTATACATTTTTAATAAGGCAGATGTTTAAAAATGTGATACCACAAAAAAACTAGTTGAAGCCCTATTGTTTGCTGATGTCGTTTCACATTTTATTATATTCAATAAGTTGTGTTGGAGTTCAAAAATAGGAAATGCCCTATGCCAAAAAAGTCTTGGCAACTTAAGGAAAGTCTTGTAAAAAACTGGAAAGAAATGAATGGTATTTCTCACAGCCATCCCAGCACAAACCTCTACATGTTTTTTTTATTTTTTATTGCAGGTTTAAAATACATTTAATTATTGGCGAGTAATGTTAATGCAACAGATAATAATACATTTTTTTCCCAAAATATATGTTTCTATGTCATATATCAGAACATTGATTGACGTAGGAATAACGTTTACTGATATTCATCACCCGTAAATGTTTTAATATAATTCTCCTACTGAAACTACCTAACATTTCAAACTGCAAATTGCTTTTATCTATTCAACTTCAAGGTGTTTGTCAGTGCTATTTTATTAAAGTATTTCCTCAACAGTCTGTTGTGCCCCATGTACGTCAAAGTTAAGGCTTCACTATTCTGTGACTAATAGCACAATGGTTGCAATATATTTAGCTTTGCACATTACCTTCCTTTTTGTTCAAAACAAGTTATTTTCCTGATCTGATTCCTACATCCAACAAGAATAGAACTTCAACCATGCATATATTTATAATCCGACATAGGAATAGATTAACCTTAAGGGACAGACATTTTTTTTTTTGGATTAATAAAATGAACATAGATAGTCTAAGCACTAATAGATTAATAAAATTAAACAATAGTGGACAAAGTTTCTACTTTCAAAAAAGGTTTCCGTTTTCTGATGCTTTATCTTTCATTTTATCCATAATTTTGAGTAACATTGCTAAAGAAAAACATTCACCTAAAAATCCTTATTTATTCTTATTTTGGTAATATTATTTTTACTGACATGTATTAAAAGAGGCTGTTCGCTAGACTTAGATAAAAGTAGAAACCTGAAAAAACACAACTTCTGCAAGCTATTTATTGACTCTTGCAACTAATTTCGACCCTTTTGTCGCAAAATAAAATTTGTTCAAAATTCATAAGCGTTTTAAGTTTTATAAAACTCTATATTGCTTATTATGCATACCATGATATATTTCCTGTAATGTAGCAGTTTTTTGAACATATCTAACTAGTTATTGACTTACCTTCAGCTTTCGAAGTCTCAAGCATTTTTCATTGCTAATATTTGATAAATGTTTTTATAAGAATTACTTGCTTTTTTGGACTATTTATTTTACTGTATAATAGTAAAAAATAAATATTGACTGCTGAGTAGAAAAGAGATGATATAGACTCCGTAAAAGAATTTTTTTATGATGATTACAATACCAAAAAGTTTTCCACAATAGTGAAAAATTTTCTGCAAATGAAATTCACGCATTCATATATATTATTCATGTCTGTTGTCCACCTATGCCAAATATGCAATATATCCCTTTTGTTAGAAAATTTAGGAAACAAGTATCGAAATCATTGATTTAAAATTTATAGCTGCCAACTCTACTGGTTTTTCCAGTAGACTACTGGATTTTGTGAGTTTCTCCTGGTCTACTGGCTTAGTAAAAATTCTGGCTCTTGTTCATTTTAGTAAAGTTTCCAAAGAATTCGCTTTTAAAATAGAATTTTGGCACAGATTATTGCTTCTTGAATGTTATATAGTTATCACTAATACATAATGAAGCTAGCCTAATTTATAAAATTCTTTTAGCTATTTTTGATGAGTCAAATGCTTATTACTATTAAAAATTGTGATTAAACATAAGACATAACATTTCACTTTCTTTTAATGTTAATCATAACTGCAAAATATTACAGTTTTTCTATTTTGATGACTGTAAAATTCTCTGAAATTCCCTATCTGTAAAATATTTAGTACATTTTGCTATATTTATCATGAAATTTATATTATTTCATAAAATTTACTGGATTTTTTCCTATCTATGTTGGCAATTATGTGAATTTAATGTGATAGAGTAAACTAGTTAATAAATGAAACATAAATGATGAGTATGTATAGTATTTTTAACACTGAAAACAACATTTGTTTTAAATTTTATTTTTCAAAGAGAAAAATTATGGGGAGGGGAGGGATAACAAAATCACATTTAGCATACATGCTATACAATTACTAAAATAGCACAATGGTACAACTTTTTGAACTATTAAATGCTATTAGTCCCTAGTATAATTAAACAGCTTTGATTTTAAAATCTTTGTTAGTATATTCTAAACAAAAAATATCAACTTGAGATTGCTAAATGAGTTATGGATTAAAAAAAACTTTTAAGACTAGGTTTTGATGCAAAAAATTAAAATAACAAATACTACTAAAATTTATATGGGGTTTCCACAGATCAGGGAGAATGGGAGAAACTTGGAATTGTCAGAAATTTTATTTTAACTTTAGAAACCAGGGAATAGTCAGGGAAAGTTTCAATTTTCTTACAAGAACCTGGAACATTCCAAGATCATACCTGGAAAATAACTGCTCTCAAAATTGTCCGTAACAGTAATCAGTTATTGAGATTCAAGTTAAATAATTCTAACATCCATTGCATTTATTTTTTGCAAAAATTTCACATTTTAGTCAAATTGAAATATTCCCATCCTTATTTAATGAATTTTTTTTCACACAGAAAGTCTAATATTTCACATCACAAATAAAATAATAAAGTTTTCTAAGGAAAATATGTTCTTGATTCCCATTGAAATTTTACCTGGAAAAGTCAGGGAGTTTTTTTTTTTCTGAAATTGAGTGGGAACCCTGTTGTAGTACTTGTTATTAATTTTTATATCGTGTTTTTATATTGTGTTTCATGGTTATTCTTAACACTGCTAGCTTAAAATTTTTATGTTCTAATACAGGTCAGTGACTCTCATGCCAGAAGAAGCAGAAGATATGTGGCATGCCTATAATCTTATTGCTGAAGGAGACAACTTAAAAAGTACTACAATAAGGTAATTATCTTAAATGGAATTTACATGTTGTTTTTAATTCATTTTACGTTTTTAGGGTATCAGATTTTAAAAAATATAAGTAAAATGTGTGTCGTGTGCAATTGTTTAAATCACATAATTTCATGCACTTTCAGAATTTTTCAGCTTTTGCAGAATTTTAGGCAAAATGTTTTAATGTTATCTTAAAGCTTGAATGAAATAAGTGTTTGCTTTTTTGCTAAAACATTTTACCAAAATCTTTTTTTTTTTAAATATCTATTATCTTCAATTTTTTTCACTTCATATAATAAAATCCTTCCAATTCCTAGTTTTAAAACATATTTTTCTAAACAATATTTTTTTTTTATGTATTGCAAATCTAAATCTTAGAGTTACAGCAGCTTTGTTACAAGTGAGTATTAAAAGAAAAGTATTGTATGCCTGTTAAAGAAAAATTCATTTCTTCTTATATCAAGCATATATATATTTTTTTTAATAATAAAAAATAGTCGAAAGCAATGGTAAAGTTAAGTTATTCCATATCAAAATTTTTGAAAATATGCTATTAAAATGTAAGGCATATAAAGAAAAGGAAATAACTGTTTTTGCTTTGTTTATTTTAGGTCTGTTTTGCACTTGTTTAATGCTTTATTATGAAACAAATTTCTTAGCAATAATATAGTTTCAAATGTTATTTTTATTAATTTTTCCATCATAATTATATGTATGGATTTTTACTAATCATAAGCAGAAACTCTTAAAATATGTTGTTTTTTTGTGAAAAAAATCAAAAAACTGAGACCCATTCCATTTTTTAAATCCCACTCCAAAATGTCTAATAACAGTCAAAACTTAAGAGAAAAATCATGTATGTATGTATTATTATTATTAGAGATTGCCAATTTTCAGATCATGAGATTTAATGTTTCTTAATTTTTTATACTTAGTATTTTTAGCATATTTGTTACTTATTTACAAAAACCACATAGTTTTTTGTACACTTGTTTAACTTGCAAGTAGTGAAACTTTTGTGTAAGCTACTTGTAGTTAAATAGCTTGTGTTTGGTGAGAGCTAGAGCTTCTAGCTATCCCTATCCTGAACTCTAGTGGTATGACAGTTAATTAAAAGTTAAGCTACTTCACTGTTCATTTTACTCTTAACACAATGAAAATATTATTTTTCTGAAATATTTGTTTAATACTCTTTACTTTAGTTTTAGTAGATAAAAAAAAACTATTTAAAAAACATTATATTAGCTTATCTTCAATGAGGTATTTCACATATATAATGTTTAAGTTAACTTGTGTTCTTAAAGGTTTTCTTTTAATGTCAAAGTTTTAAAAATATTAAGTAAAAATATAGTTTCTAAGTTAGTTACAAACACTCAGAAAGTAACTTCATAGTTGACTTGAGCTAAGAGAAAAAAACAATCTTAGAATGGTAAATTTTCTGAAAATGTATCTCAGATATATAAAAATCTCTTGGGTGTCTAAAAAATCACAAAATCGCAATTATTAAAATCAGGAATAAAACTCAAGAAAGTTTTTACAGTATTATTTTTAAAAGTATTTCATTTATGTTGTTAATCTTTTATATGTATTACTTTTTACTTAAAATATTATTCTTATAGAAAAGTGACTACTGAATCAGCTACTGGAAGTACCGGAAGTAATAGAATACGAACTACTCTTACTATAAGAGTAGAAGATGTTGATTTTGACACACAAGCTTGCATGCTTAGAGTTAAAGGACGAAATATACAAGAAAATCAGTTTGTAAAAGTAAGTGCTGCTTACAAATATCTATATATATATATATATTCAATTTCAACCGTAAATATTTTTAACTTAATTTTTTTTTCTTTTACAAATAATTAGATGGGTGCATATCATACTATTGATTTGGAACTCAATCGAAAATTTACCCTTGCAAAATCATGTTGGGATAGCGTTGCACTCGAAAGAATTGGTAAGTTGGTCAAGCTCTTTTATATAATTCATTCTTTATGTATACTATTGTATTATATATGATATAATAATGTTGTATTGTATAATATGGCTCTTTTTTTATTTTATGTCAATTTTCCTATCTCATTTTTTCTGCTTTACTTAATTATATGTATTTAAAAAAAAATTATTTCTACAGGGTCAGATAGGTACATGTTAAAAAAACATCTATTTTCTACTTTTAAATTGAGATAGTTTGTTTAGTATTTATAGAGACATTTACTGGGATTGTGGGAAGCATTTTTTTTTTAAAGTTTTTAGAACTGATAAAAAAAAAAAATTATTTACAAACTATCTGTTTATATCAACTTATACAATATGTTAGTTTAAACTGTTGATGATCTTTCTTTTAATATAATTAAAAACTGGCAAAAACTATTAATTTTATTTCAGTCTGTTAGAAGGGCATCTAAAGAACAGATATGCTTAGAAATTTAAGAATAAATTTGAAAACTACTTGTTTTGAATTATTTTTTAAGGTGGGGTAAAGTTAGTATATATTTAGCCTTAGCTCAATGCTGGGGATTTATCGATGGGGATTTTATTTTTTTACTTCTGTGTTAGTTTTAGAAAGTATCTAATGCTCCATATTTTATAATGAAATGCTAAAGAATAATTTACTCTTTTGATTATGTACATATTTAGTACATTTTGCTATATTTATCATGGAATTTATATTTCGTAAAATTTACTGGATTTTTTCCTATCTATGTTGGCAATTATGTGAATTTAATGTGATAGAGTAAACTAGTTAATAAATGAAACATAAATGATGATTATGTATAGTAATTTTAACACTGAAAACAGCATTTGTTTAAAATGTTATTTTTCAAAGAGAAAAATTATGGGGAGGGGAGCGATAACAAAATCACTTTTAGCATACATGCTATACAATTATTAAAATAGCATAATGGTACAACTTTATGAGCGTAATTAAAGACAGCTATTAGTTTTCAAGCAAATTTCTACCTTCATATAATTTTTTGATTGAAAACAAAACCATTTCCTTAAAATAACTAAATTGAATAAAAATGTGTGTCTGCTATAAATAGTAAAAACACTTTATATTGTCACTAAAACGTATACATTTTTACGTTCTCATTTATATATCAAATAAGCCAAAAACTGTTACAGCTTTCGTACTTTTTGTTGAAATTGTGTAGAGTTCAGCAAAATATAATGCATTTGAAGTGAAACCTTATTTTGATTGCCATAAACATTAATCCTTAATTTAATAATACGAAAAAAATAATAATTTTTCAGCATTTATTTTTTGAGATATAATTGTGCATTTATTTAAAAATATTTTTTTTTCTAAAACAATATTTACATTTGTTTTTTAGTGAAATATATGCTAATTTTAGAACTACCAACTGAACCCCACTCTAGAGTAAAGGTGGTATATCGAAATATGTTCTTTTGATTGCCTTACTCTAAGAAAACAAAGAAGCGAAATGGATAAGTTAGACTTCTTATGTAAAACGCATCAATAAGATAAATTCAATGGTTTTAATATGGAACCTTCTCTTTAAAAAAAAACTCTACTTTATGCACACTTTACCCCACCTGACTCTGCATACATAAACTGTTCTGAATTTTAAAAAATTCTGCAAGCAATTCATTCATTCTTGTAGACCCTATTGTTTTCCATCTAATTTTGACGAAATTTAGTCAAAAATCTCATTAAACATGTTGTAATTTTTATAAATTATTAATTTATTATGATCTTTTAAACATATTATAATTTTTGTATTGATTATTTTATGTACCAACATAAATTTCTTTAAATTGAGCAGTTTTCTAAAGATAGAAAACTACTTATGGAATTTCTTTGTTTTACTTTATACTTGGCTAAAATTTTTATAATGAGTAATACTAAAAATACTAATAGTAATACTAGGTAATACTAAAAAATTTTCCATGAACACTGTTTGTGTGTTTCTGTATATTATGTATTTATGTGATTAGTTATTACTATAAAATAATGTTATGTTATTATATCATTGTAATTATAACTGTAAAAACTTTCCTAACATGATGATGCATTATGTTACTATTGCTTTAAATATATATTTTGATGAAACTGTAATGAAATCGTAATTCCAAATTTCATTCCTTGATTGTTGTTTGATCTAAATCTGTATTATTATTTTTTTGTTATATTTACATTTTTATTTTATTTATAAACTAATGATAATTTTCCTTACAGTTTTTATAAGTGCTTCTGTAATTTCCTAAAGTATTTTTGCTTCATTTTTAGAGTATCCAGTGAAATTTAAAATAATTATTTTAATACTATGAGTATATCTGTGGTCTGGTTTTTAATTTTAAACTGAATCTATCTTTATTATCATTTTTTTATTGTTTTCACTCATAATGCATAAAAATATGTAACATCCTTAGCAGCAAAATAACTTTGACCCAGATTTATGAATCTTGGCTAAACAAGGGTTCGTAGGCCCGTTATTTTCTGTTATTGGCCATATGTAGAATTGTTCGATTCGCCCCCTATTTTACAGCCACTTTACAACCAATATCGGCCCCATATAGAGTTGATAGATTCATCCATAATTTTATTTTCATTATTCAGCCAATATAGGCAGTATACTGATCATATATAGGGCAGTATTGGCCCTATATATAGGACCAATATTGAAAAATCTAGACATCCCAATATTGGTCCCTCAAAGAACCATATTGAGTCAATTGAAAATTTTTGTGAGGGATATAGTATATGGAATTAAATTTAAACTGAAGCTAGAATTCATAAATACTAAATAATTACAGGCTATGAAAGACAGCTAGAACTCAGCATTCTAATTTATATTATTCTCAGTAGATGTCAGCTGGTTATTTAATTCTATTTTTAAACTGTCCTAAAATAATTAAATCTTAATTAATGCAAGTGTTGGAGGCCATGCAAACTCACAGAGACCACGTGTGATCTATGCACTGCAAGTTTCCCACTTCCGCCCTAGATATTTTATATATCTAAGATATATATTTAAAAAATTTATATTTCTGAGATTTTATAGTGTTAATTTTGTCTTTAAAATTTACCATTTAAAAAAAAATTCATTGCTTATGTTAGGGGTGCACAACCTGCGGCCCGCGGGCCAAATGCGGCCCTTCGACTACTGAAGTGCGGCCCGCGAGAGCTTCTAAACACAATAAAAAAATTTTAAAAAATGGCAATTTTTAATCGCACTTTTAAGTCATCACGTTTTGGCACAATCAATTTTAACATATTCTTTAGTAAATGTACGTTTAACGCGCTTTCTTTAAGCCGATTTTATCGTAAATATAAATGATTTTTTTAAAACAATTATTTCCGCTTTTCTACGTGATTTCGAAAATCCCGAATTTTTATTATGACGCGAGTTTCAGTTCACAAATTTAAATAATCACTTTTTGTGCACTTTATTTGTGACAATTTCATCTTAAATCTAAGTGATTTTTTACCCTTTTTTTCTTTATTTTCAAAAAATTTTTTCGGCTGTTATTGCTATGCGTTCCCACGTATTATAAAAAATTCCAATTGTTCAATTACGAAATACAAATTTTAAATCATGCATTTGACACGCTTTATTCGTGCTGAGTTCAGCATCAATATATTTTTTCCCAATTATTTCTATACTTTTCCACATGATTTTGACGATCCCGTTATTTAACTATGTTATTACGACACGTGATTATTGATCGTGCAATTAAATAATCCCTCTTTGATACGGTATTTCAGCACAGTTTTATCTAAAATCCTAGTTATTTTTCCTTCGTTTTCATTTCCGCAACGAATATGATTTGGTCGAATGTGGTAATGAATTGTTATTTGATCAAAAATCAAATATTCGGCAAAAAAAAAGAAGAAGAAAAAATCTATTGAACGCCGTACACTTGGGGCCAAATAGCAAAATCTTTTAGCAGTATTGCAACACTGAAACTAAAATTTCAGTGCTCAGAATAATATTTCCTGGAAAAACGTTTTCATAAATTAACTCTAAAAAATAAGGCCAATCAAGAACGTTGAAAATGTCGAAAAGCGAAACAGAGAACATAAAAATCGATCTTAATTTTTGAAAATTTTCTTTAAAGCTGAGCATCTCAGTTTTTCATTTACCAGAAAAAGCAAAGAAAAAAGAATTAAGTCAACAGAAATGCTATTAAAAATTACTACGTTATAATGAAAACGTCTAAAAAAATGCTTTTTTTTATTTAAAGAAAATAAAAAGATAGAAAAAAAGCGTTCTTAATTTTTTAAATGAAAATCTTATGC